CGTACTATTATACACAGCTTCCTGTTGGCCACTGGCAGTTCCTCCACTGCCCACCACCTCTCCCCTCCCCCCCCTAGCTCATCCCCTTCCCCATTGGGGCCAGCCCCAGCCTGGGAACCTCTTTCATCTCTTCTTCCTCTAACCACTTACCATTAGACACTTAAAACATTTTAAAAGTTCAAAAAATAAACAGCATCTCAGATTCACAAAATCAATTTCCCATTACCAGCCCTAGCCAGTTTGGCTCAGTGGATAGAGTATCATCCTATGGCCTGAAGGGTCGCAGGTCCAGTTTCAGTCAAGGGCACATTCCCAAGTTGCAGGTTTTATCCCCACTGTGGGGCATGCAAGGGCAGCTGATCAAAGATTCTCTCTCATCATTGATGTTTCTATCTCTCTTTCCCACTCCCTTCCTCTCTGAAATCAATAAAAATATTTTTAAGTAAAAATATATATTTAAAACAGTTTCCCACGACCATCTTCAGTTTACTTTATTTATTTATTTATTGTTAATCCTATAAGGACCCCTCTTTTCACTCCCCGCAACAAAACCTAGGACATGACCCTGCTCTCTTCCTCCACCAGCTGAAATTCTGTTTCCTATTTTCTCATTCATTTTTTTTTTGTTTGTTCTCTTGCACATCTGTATGCCAAAACCTTGTTTCATTTTCTCTGTATCTGAACTTTATGACAACAGTGGCTTTTGTATGGGTCTTTGGGGACTTCTTTTTGCTCAAGATTCCACTATAACCAAGTCATTAGGTCATACATTTTATGAGACTGACGCGCTACCTACTGTGCTAACGAGGCACCTCTTCATACATTTTAAATATATTTCAATTTATTTGTCAATTGTACCTCGGTAAACCTGATAAACTAAGATTCTACTACAAAACATACCAAGCAAATTAGGATGTTTGTACATCACTCAGTGATTAGAATTGAAAAAGGAGTATGTTCTTAAGACTCAGCCATTGGGGGAGGACACCGCCCGCACAGTAGCCATGCCATCTTGAAGAACAGAACTGCTTGAGACTAGGATCCTAGCCTCGCCACCACCCAATCTGGTCTCAGATGCAAACCAGGACCCTACAGCCACTTGGGTAAAAGACCTGTGACCACAGCTGCAGACCCAGGGACACCAAGACTCCATACATCCCAGCCTCATGTTTCTGTGAGTCACAGAGCCCATCCCCCTCCTCACCTGCCCTCTGCAGCTGCATAGGAACTGCTAGGCCCGCTCCAATCCACGCAAGCAGGCCTCCTGCCCACACAGGGCAGCTGTGCTACCCAATTTGAGTCTGGGTGCGCGGACTCAGGGGTTTGTTCCCCTCAGGGTGCACTCCCACTACCTGACCCCATGCCCAAACAGGGCTGATGTGCCACTTGGCTTTGATTCTGGATGAGGGCACATTGGAAGTCTCTCTCCCACAGCACAGTATTCAACCTCCCGCTGACACAGCGCGGCTGTACAACCCGGTCTGCCAAGCAAACTGGGAGACACGACAACTTTACTGGATACAGTAATCTTAGTTGTAGGTTCTCACTTTTCATCACTTTGAATATTTCTTCCCACTCCCTTCTGGACTGCATATTTCTGTTGAGAAATCAGCTGATAGTCCTATGGCTGCTCCCTTATAGGTAACCAACTGCTTTTCTCCTGCTGCTTGTAAGATTCTCTCTTTGTCTTTTGCCCTTGGCATTTTAATTATGATGTGCCTTGGTGTGGTCCTCTTTGGATTCCTCTTGTTTGGGCTTCTGTGCACTTCCTGGACTTGTAAGTCTAATTCTTTCACCAGATGGGGGAAGTTTTCTGACATTATTTCTTCAAATAGGTTTTCAGTGCCTATATGGCACTCTCTCTTCTTCTGGCACCCCCATAATTCTGATGTTGGTACGTTTGAAGTTGTTCCAGAGGCTCCTTACACTATCTTCAACTTTCTGGATTGTCTTTTCTTCTTGCTTCTTCAGAGGAGTGTCATTTAGCTCTTTGCATTCCAAATCTTTTATTTGATTCTTGTGTTCCTCCAATCTGCTGTTGGATCTCTGTATAATATTTTTTATTTCAGTCAGTTTATGTTTAATTTCTAGTTGGGTCTCATTAAATTATTCGGCCTTTTCTAGGAAATTCTTGAAAAACCTTATAACAGTGGTTTTGAACTCTATATCCAGTCTTTTGCTCTCTTCCATTTCTTTCGTTTGAGAACTGTTTCCTCGACTCGGCATTTTTGCTGCTTCCCAGAGTTGGTAGGATCACATTGTGTGTTTGGTGTCCTATTTGGCCCAGTTCCTTTCACTTTTTATCTAACCCCAGAGATGTCTGCGCCTGCCTCCCTAGTCTTCCACCAGTGCATTTCTTGTGCCTCTCCCTTTGATTGTAATGTATAAAATACGGTGCAAAACTGGCATTCTTGGGAGAATTTCCTCAATCAATTGGGATTTTCCTTCTAGGTTATTGTTGTCAATTTGGCTCAAATAAACTCATAAAAATTCTCTACAGGTTTGTATGTTTCTTGGGCTGACAGAGGGGAACAGAATGTGGGGACAGGAGCCAGGGCACCGATGTGGGATCTGATGGGGCTATCCCTGGGTGGGGGCCAATGAGGAGAGTGGGGGGATTTGGGGTCCAGTTGAAGTCAGAGCCATCCGGCTTGCTGACAAGCCTGGTGATAGTGGTGGTGGCAGCATGTTCCTCTTTCGAACTTCCCTGAGCTTGCAGCAAACATCTCAGTGCATTTCCAGTGTGTTAGCCCAGTTCTTCCTCGCCCTGCTGGTGAGGCCAGTGGCAGGCATTGTATTCCCATTCCCATCAGGAAGACTGAGTTCCAGACGGGTTAGGGCTCAAGGCACATCCTAGGGGAGGAGAAGGCAAAACAATAGATGATTCTCTAAGACATTTGAGAAGATCCAAGATGGCTGCACAGGTAAACACCTAACCACAGCCACACACAACAATTTCAATAAAATACAACTAAAATACAAAATGGACATTACTCAGAACTACAGGAAAGTCGACTGACTGGAAATTCTACAACGAGAAGGAAAGAGAAAACCAGAAGGAAAAGCAGAGGAGCTGTAAAAGCCTAAGGTATGGAGACACAGGGCACTCGCAGAGAGGACAGAGCCAGAGAGGAGAGGGAGGCTGAGTGCCTGGCTGGTGCTCCCTAGCGGGAAGGAGACAAAAGCTCTGGACTGTGCTGAGCCCCAGTTCCGACTGCACTGAACCCCAGGTCTAGGCCAGACCCCAGGAACACAGGTTCATATGGAGGGAGCCTGAACTGTAAGGCGGAAGCCCAGGGGAGCAGCAAAGGGAAGTCCCGGAGGGGTGCACATTGTGCGCAGAGGACGGGCCGTTGACTGTGCCACTGGATTGCCCTAGTGGGAAAGAGACAAAAGCACCAGACCGCACTGAACGCCACGTCCAACTCGACTTCCAACTGAACTGAACCCCAATTCCAGGCTAGATTGGAGAAGAGCCTAGATTCTTTGGTGGCTGGCGAAACTCGAGGGCACCTTTCTCTCAGAGGTGCTTGTAGTGAGTACCAAAGGACCCTGAGGAATACTGAGACTCAGGAGCGTCAAAGGTCATGATTGACTGAAGCCAAGGCTGTAAGCTCCACCCCGAAACTCCACCCCATCCAAGCTGAACACAGAGACTATTAAGGCTACCAACTCAGAGAAGCTGTGAAAATGATGAGACAAGGAAACAGATCACAAACGAAAGAAATGGAGGACAAAAAGCAACTGGATATAGAGTTCAAAACCACGCTTATCTGTTTTTCAAGAATTTCCTAGAAAAGGCCAATAAGACATATGAGGATATGAAAAGGGATCAACCAGAAATAATAAGGGATCAACAAGAAATAAAGAATACATAGTCTGAAATAAAAAATACTATACAGAGTCCTAAAAACAGAATGGAAGATCGCAAGAATCAAGTCAAAGATTTGGAACATAAAGAGCCAGAAGACACTCTTCTGCAGAAGCAAGAAGGCAAGAGAATCCAGAAAGTTGAAGATAATGTAAGAAACCTCTGGGACAACTTCATGCGAACCAACATCAGAATTATGGGGGTCCCAGAAGATGAGAGAGAGCAAGATATCGAAAACATTCTAAAGAAATAGTGACAGAAAACTTCCCCCACCTTGTAAAAGAATTAGACTTACAAGTCCAGGAAGCACACAGAACTCCAAACAAGAGAAATCCAAAGAAGAACACACCAAGACACATCATAATTAAAATGCCAAGGGCAAAAGACAGAGAGTGAATATTAAAAGCAGCAAGAGAAAAGCAGGTAGTTACCTATCAAGGAGCACCCATATGATTGTCAGCTGATTTCTCAACAGAAACCATGCAGGCCAGATGGGAATGGCAAGAAATATTCAATGTGATGAATACTAAGAACCTACAGCCAAAAATAATCTACCCAGCTAAGCTATCACTCAGAATTGAAGGCCAGATAAAGAGCTTCACTAATAAAAAAAAAAAAAAACTAAAGGAGTTCATCACCACCAAACAGAATTATATGAATTGCTGAAGGAGATTCTTTCAGAATAAAAAGTAAATAAAGATAAAAACTATGATCAACAAATACGTAACTATCAACAAGTGAATCTAAAAACCAAGAGAATTTTTTAAAAATCTGATAAACAATATTAACTGGTGAATATAATAGAATCAGAGGTATGGAAGGGGAGTGAACTCACGATTCTTGGGGAAAAGGGGAGAAGCGTTGTGGGAAGAGACTGAACATAAACTGTGCACCTATGGATGAGGACAATGGGGGGTGGGGAAAGGGCAGAGGGTGGGAACCTGGTGGAGGGGAGCAATGGAGGGGGAGAAAAATGAGGAACATTTGTAATAATATGAACAATAAAGATTTATTTTTTAAAAATTAAATAAATAAAAAAACAACAATAAATGATTCTGTGGATGGTGTGGAGACACCGCCCTGGGCAGTGGCTCCTCCACCCCCACTCACAGGCTGTATAAGAGCCAGGATGCCACAGAACGATGCAGAGCTGCCCAGCCTGGCAACACAGAAGCACCCTGCCCAGACCATGGGAGGCCCCCACCTCAGCACCTGTCACATCCTACAGGGTAAGAATTTGGGGCCCCTAAGGGAGGGGTAGGGGAGCTCATGGTAGCACCCCTTTGGTGCCTCCATTTTCCAGTATCTCCACATCACCCCCACCAAGGAGAAATAGGCACTGCTGGCAGCTCTGGGGCCACATGGTTAGGCGGGAGCTGGGGCACAAGGGGGAGCAGCCGGCAGTGCCCGGGTACCCCCACACCCGGGCAGGACCTCCCGTGTGCTCTGAGGGTCTGTTCCCCACCCCCAGAGGGATCTCCAAGCTCCTTCCACTTTGGAAGCTGCTCCCTAAGAGGGGAAACTGGAGCCGGGGGAAGAGAGGGGCCGAATGAGTGCTGTGACCCCCTCAGGAAGTCACTCTTAGCAGAGGGCAGAAAGGGGGCTAGGGAGCTAAGGGGAGACCCTTCCACAATGGGGTGACACCCACACATCTCCCATCCTGTGGCAGCGGAAGCCCGGAGACCCTCCTTTTTTGCTCCCCCAGACCCAGCGGGGACTCAGCTGTGCGTTAAGGGCTTTGCTGCTGTAGGTTGAGCCTGAGCTCTGCTGTGACTTCCCCCCCCTCCGCCTCCCTTCCCACCCCACCCAGGGTGGCTCTAATGGTTATCAGGTTATCAGGGCAGCTTGGTGCCTGGGCAACCGGGCAACAAAGAGAGTGAAGAAATGACACTTGGGGTGCCACTCGGAACTTCCCCAGGCCACAGGGATATGGCTCCCTGTGCAGGCCCAGGGTGTCAGGTTTGAGCTGTTTTCTTTTGCTTGTTTTTGTTTTTGTTTTTATCAAGGTGAGGTGTAATTTACATAACATGTAATTTGCCTGTTGCATGATTACAATGAGATGATTTTTAGTAAATTTTCCTGCTCTGTGTGGAGCTCACCTGCAGGGGGCGATGTGTCAGGGGGCCAAGTCACAGAGCCCCTGATCCTCACTTTCCAGGTCTGTGAAATGGGGCAAAGCAAGACTGGTCTCCCCTTCATAGGCTGTGCTAAGGGCTGAGTCCTGGTTCACTGTAAGAATTGAGTGACATGATTGTTGTTGTTGTTGTTGTTGTTGTTGTTGTTGTTGTTGTTAATGTTACTATTATTATTATTTCACTGGAGAATCTGGCAATGGGCTGGGAAGTGGGGGGGGGGGGGGAGCTGTCCATAGCAGGAAGAGCCAGGAGAGAATGCGGGCCCCACCCCTGCCACAGGGCCCCAGGCAGGATCTGACTGCGGAGGTCTCAGCTAGGGGAATGCACCCAGATGGGTCTGGGAGCAGGTGACCAGACCCACTCTCCAGGATCCTGTTTGGGGGCCTTCCTGGGCCCCAGGTGGGCTCTGGCCCATCAGCCTCTGTGGTGGGGCAGGAAAGCCCAGCTCAGCACAGAGAACCCCCTCCCTGCAGGGTCTGGGGAACTCACCTCTCACTTCCATCTTCCCTAGCCCCCTCTCACCAGATTTTCCGTAAGCCTTTCCTGGCCTCTGAGCCTCAGTTTGTCAATCTGCAGAGTGGACATAAACAGAGCCTCTGTCTCCTTGGACAGTTGTGAGCATGAAGTCACTACTGGGGCTTTGGGAGCTGGGGACAATTTGGCCCAGGGCCCACCCTGCCAGGGAAGGTCATTTTGTGGTCTTTCCTAAAAGAGGAAGTGTGTTTCCATCAAAGCGAGAACTAACCAAACCCTGTGGCCAGAGAGGAGAGAGACAGGAAGTCCAACTTCACTTTACTGCATCTGCAAGGGCCTCGGGGAGCGTGTGGGGGTCTTTACCCCCTGCTGGCCTGAGGGGTATCAATTTGGACACTGGAACTGAGTGCTCAAGGGACCCTCCAGTCTGCACCCTTCACAGCTCCTCAAGTTGTGCTCACACTGACAGACCCCAAAATCCTCTGGGAGCCCCTCCATGGGGTACTGGGAGCCTGAGATATCCCTTCATTTGGCCCAGGAGGTGACTCACTCCTGCCCTGTCTCCCTGGTTCCAACCCCTCCACCCGCTGCCCCCATCTGTTCTCTGGATTATCTGGGTGGAGGCTGATTCCCCAGCATCTCTAGATCGGCAGGGACTGGATGCATCCCTCAAGCATTTCCCACAGCCCATCTGCTACCCAGGTTCCGTCCCTCTCTCCCTCTCCCATCTCCCCTCCCTTCCTTCCCCTTCTGTTTCTCTTTCTGACTCTCAATCTCTCTATCCCTCAATCTAATCTGACTCTGTGTCTCTTTCTTTCTAGGAGTTCCCTATGTCTCTGTCCATCTCTCTAGATCATTGTCTTCTTAACTCTACCTCTCTGTTTCTTTCTCTCTCCATTTCTGTGTTCTCTCTCTCTCTCTCTCTCTCTCTCTCTCTCTCTCTCTCTCTCTCTCTCTCTCTCTCTCTCCTTTATTTTCTCTCCATCTGTCTCCTTCTCTGTCTCTCTAGTGTATGGGTCCTCGTATCTAGACCCCCTGCCGACTTAAGGAGAACCCCAGGACATGCCCTGGGATGGGGTGCACCTGTGCTGCAGGAAGAGCAGGATTGGGGGACCCATGTAGCTCCACCCCTAACATGAGCCCCAGCATCTTCCTGTGTGCAGGGAGCCAGGGGGTGAAATGTCACCTCGAGGTCCCAAGCTGGTCCTTGTGGCTGACAGGTATGGGTGCAGTGTGCTTGCACCTGTGCCTCTGAGGAGGGGTGTGGCCGGAGCTCCTTAGCTTTGGGAGATCTGAGAGGACAGCTGGCCCAACCCCTTCATTTTTATATAAAGAAATGGCGGCAGCAAGCACTCTGACACACCAGACAGTACTTGTGTGCTTGACTCTCACACTCTAGGGAAAGGGCCCTCTCCTCATCCCCATTCTACAGAGGGGAAACTTCCCTGTTCTGTTCCCCACTCCCCCGACCCCCATCTCTCTGTTCCAGGGCTGTGTGTCTTGCTGATTCTGTTGGAAGATGGACCCCAGAACGCCAGGGGTGAGTCTGCTGGGAGTAACTCTGTCCACAGCCAGAGTCCCATCCCCCACCTGCACCTCTCAGCCCAGGCAGGGAAAGGCCTGCTGCAGGGGAAGCTCAGGGTGGCCCCTCCCAACACCCCTCCCAGCCTCTGGCTCAGCCTCATCTCCTGACCATGGTCTCTGTTCCACAGCCTCTGCATGCCCCCAGCCATGCCCTCCAGACTCCTCATGTGTCAGTGGCACTGCCTGTCGCTGTAACCCAGGATTCCAATCTCCACCTGGAAAGATTGAAGTCAGCCGAGCGGATATTTGTGAAGGTACAGAGGCTTGGGTGGTGGAGAGCTACATGGCGACGGAATGGTGGTTGGTGGCCTAGCCTTTGTGCTCAGACCATCATGAAGCACAGAGAAAAGAGAAAGAAAAAGACATGAAGGTGGAAAATGAGAAGTGGATGAACACGGCTTCGTACAGAGGGAGGAGCTGGGTCTCTAGGAGCCTGGAACCTGTGCCTCAGTTTACCCTTCCAGGCCTGGGGAGGGGGATGCAGAGCTTCCACCCACCCACCACTTCAGCACTTGCTCCTGGATCCAAATCCAGGGGACAGTCAGAAAGCTGAGCAGAGCAGAGCCAATTGGGTGGGTTTCAGGAGTGGCTTGCTCCAGCCACAGCAGTGTTGTCTAAGTCTAATTATTTCCCAAAAGACACTGATTGAGCATCAGGCTCCATGCTGGGTATGGGACCAGGCTCTCTGCCCTGAGGGCACTCATGGCTTTGGGAGGTGACCCTTTATCCTGTTTTGTTGCAGACATTAACGAATGTGATCAACCCAAAAAAGAAACCTGTGGAATCGCTGCAGACTGCCATAACACGAAGGGGAGCTTCTATTGCAAATGCAGCCCAGGATACAGGCTTCTTTCTGGGGGAGTAAAGTTCTGTAATGCGAGTGAGAACACGTGTCAAGGTAAGAATGACCTGCACCTTCCATCTCCGCGTCCATGAGGTTTGGAGTCCCCAGAGCCATTCCTGCAGCATACAGGGTGCCAGGCCTTGATCCAAGGTGCAGCCCCAGGTCTAAGTGGGGACAAGTGTGCCTGTGTCTGTACCACTAGCACGGAGAGGCGGGTGGCCTTTGAGCCAGGACTTAAGTCCTGGTACAGCTACCTGACAGCTGGGTATGCAGCACCAGCCAGGACATTTATTCAGAAATCACCGATAATATTATTGTGGTTTTGTGTTTAAAAAAAAAAAACAACAAAACCTGTTTTTTTTTACAAATAAACACAAAAGTAGCTGTATGACCTTGGACAGTAATTCACTGCTCTATGCCTCGGTTTACCCATCTGTAAAAGGGAGTGACAATGCTGGGAAAGTATATGTGATCATAGAGCACAACACATTGGTGGCTGTTGGGTTTTTAGACTACACTCATTCTTTCTCTTTACTTTTTATCTTTACTGTTGAAAGTATTACATAAGTTCCATTTTTCCCCCATTGACCTCTTCCAGTCTGTCCCGCCTTGCCCTCCAGGTCCTCACCAGTGTGTGTCCAGTCTGTCCCGCCTTGCCCTCCAGGTCCCCTGCAGTGTGTGTCCACGGATAATGTTTATGTATAACTCCATTGGTTGATCTCTTTCTAACCACCCTCCCCTGCCTTCTTTCTGAGGTTCCATGGTCCGAACCATGCTTCTATGTCTCCAGGTCTATTTTTGTTCATTTTTGTCTGAGATTTTGATGCCTATAGTTCCTTCTAGGACTTTTACGGTTTCACATCTCACATGTCTTTTATCCATGTCTTTTCACATCTTACAAGTCTTTTATCCATTTTGAGTTTATTCTTGTGTATGGTGTAAGTTGGTGGTCTAGCTTCTTTTTTTTTTTTGTATATGCCTGTCCAGTTTTCCAAGCCATTTATTGAAGAGACCGTCATTGCTCCATTGTATGTTTGGGTTTGGTTTTTTTTGTTTTTTTTGGGGGGAGGGGGGGTTGCATCTTTTCATGTACCTGTTGGCCATTTGTTTGCCTTCTTTTTTTTCTTTTTTTAAAATATATTTTATTGATTTTTTAATTTTAAAATAATCTATTTTTAATGTATTTTTATTTTTTATTTTTTTAAATAAATCTTTATTGTTCAGATTATTACAAATGTGTTCCTCTTTCCCACCCCCCCTCAATTGCGCACCTCCACCAGGTTCCCACCCCACCTTCTATCTTTCCACACACCCCATTGTCCTATCCATAGGTGCACAGTTTATGTTCAGTCTCTTTCTGCACCCCCACTCCCCTTTTCCCCAAGAATCATGAGTTCACTCCCCTTCCATACCTCTGATTCTATTATATTCACCAGTTAATATTGTTCATCAGATTTTCTAATTCCCTTGGTTTTTAGTTTCACTTGTTGATAGTTACATATTTGTGGTTAATAATTTTTATCTTTATCTTCTTCCTCTTCCTAAATAACCCCCTTCAGCAATTCATATAATTCTGGTTTGGCAGTGATGAACTCTTTTAGCCTTTTTTTTATTTGTGAAGCTCTTTATCTGGCCTTCGATTCTGAGTGATATCTTTGCTGGGTAGAGTATTTTTGGTTATAGGTTCTTGCTATTCATCACATTGAATATTTCTTGCCATTCCCATGTGGCCTGCATGGTTTCTGTTGAGAAATCAGCTGACAATCGTATGGGTGCTCCTTTATAGGTAATTCTACCTGCTTTGCTCTTGCTGCTTTTAATATTCTCTCTTTGTCTTTTGCTCTTGGGATTTTAATTATGATGTGTCTTGGTGTGGTCCTCTTTGGATTCCTTTTGTTTGGGGTTCTGTGCACTTTCTGGATTTGTAAGTCTATTTCTTTCCCCAGGTGGGGGAAGTTTTCTGTCACTTTTTATTCCAGTATTCTTTCGGTATTTTGCTCTCTCTCTTCTTCTGGGATCCCCACAATTCTGATGTTGGTTCGCTTGAAATTGTCCCAGAGGTTTCTTACACTATCTTCAACTTTCTTGATTCTTTTATCTTCTTGCTTCTGCAGAGGAGTGTCCTCTGGCTCTTTGTGTTCTAAATCTTTGTCTTGATTCTTGCAATCTTCCAGTCTGTTTTTAGGATTCTGTGTAATATTTTTTTATTTCAGACAATGTTTTCTTTATTTCTAGTTGATCCCTTTTTATTTCTAGTTGATCCCTTATTATTTCTAGTTGATCCCTTTTCATATCCTAATAGGTCTCATTTATTTTATCGGCCTTTTTTAGGATATTATTGAAAAGCCTTATGGTTTTGAACTCAATGTCCATTCCTTTCTTTTCCTCCATCTCCTTCCTTTGTGTCCTATGCCTTGTCTGCATATTAGTTGTTTTCCTTATTTGATGAAATAGTTTTGTGTGTTAGATATTCTGGTAGAGCCCAGTAGCACAGCCTTCCCAGTTACCTGGGACAGTCTTGGTGTAGCCCTTTGTGGGCTATGTGTGCAGTCTTGTTAAGCCTTGCTTATCACTGAGAAGCGTTGATCTCCAAGCCAAATGGCTCTGAGGATCAACAGTGTCTCAGCTAGGAGGGCTTCTGTACTCTGCTTGGATGGGGCAGAGTCTCAGGGTGGCGCAGGCAATCTTTGGTTCCCTGTCAGTCTCACCTTAGAAAAGTCTTGTTCGCGGTGAGTCTCCCAAGATTGGTTGCAGGCTCGCACACCTCTTTGGTAAAGTCGCAGACAAGCTTTGGATTCTGGCCAGTCCCTCCTTAGAGAAAGCCAACCTCTGGGAGAGCTTCCCTGCTCAGCTTGGATGGGGCAGAGTCTCGGGGTGGTGCAGACAAGCTTTATTTTCCCATCGGCTCCTCCCCAAGTGGCTCCTCCCCAAGTCCCACAGTAATGGCCTTTGGCTTCACACACCTCCAAGAGATCTCTGCCCACTGCCTGACAGTCTGGCCTCTCTCCCTGACTGGGGCTGTCTATCAGAGAAATAGGGTGATTCTATTTTCCTCTCAAACAGCCATGCGTTAGCTGTCCACCCTCTCTGTGCTCCTGGAGTAAGCCTTAGGGAACTCAGCCCAGCCTGGCCTCTTCAAGCACCAGGAGTACACCAGCAGCAATTTCCTGGCCTCTTCGCGCACTGGGATTACACCAGCAGCAATCTCGGCCTTCCTCTATGCGCCTGGAGTAAGCCAATGCCTTTTGTGTGCACAGTTCTCTGTACCTTCAGAGTTTCTCAGGGTCAGCATGCCTTCTCTCTCCTTCCCAGATGGCAGAGCCTCCTCTCAGCTAGCCGTCCGGTGCTTCAGGGCAATGCCTCGCCTGTTTTCCAATTCTAAATTCAAATTTGTTGTGGTAGGCTGCATTCAGGTGTCTATCCTATGCTGCCATCTTGGTTTCTCCCATTGTATGTTCTTATAACACAGTGTTCCCTCCTCTCTCAGCTCCCCGTCCTGCGTGTCTCCAGTTGTCTACTGTTCTTCCTGTTTTAAGTCACATCCTCAGCTGGACCTCAGTTAGCAATTCCAGGTGAATGTTCTAATTTAGTTGTATTTCCAGGCTGGCCCTGGGATGAGGTGTCCAACAGGTCTGCCTATTCGGCAGTCGTTTCTCCTTCCCTCTAGACTACAGTCCTTATGATCTCACACACCCTCTCTGGTTAGACATCCCAGGGGACCAGAGAACAGCTGGCCTGGTCCATCCCCTCAGCAGAAACCCAACAGGAGCAGGCCTGCAGTCATCACCAGGCCCAGCTCGCTTTGCAGGGGAGCCAGGAAGGGGCTTCAGGCATCCACAGGTAGATGGGGCCAGCAGCGGTCAGGCAGAACCAGGACTCACCCAGAGAGAGGAGCAGGAGGCTGAGCTGGGAATCCTGGAGGCTTAGAGCAGGGTCCACAGGCCCGCCCTGCTGGAACAGAAGAACCTGAAACCAGGTGTCATCGGGGACCATTGCACCAGGCTCAGTCCTCTCCTGAGGAGATCAACCCAGATGCCATGGGGCCCATACCAGTGTGGGACTGAAGACGGAGGCTGAGCCCCTCTGGCCAGGCCCACAGGTCTATGTCCCTGGTGGGAGAACAAGGAGGCAGATGACAGACACTCCTGCCACTCTTCACCCATCAGCCCCTGCACCTTGCTCCAGGCATCCAGCCCTGGTCCACACGGGCCTTGCTCACTTGTGGATTCTCATTACTTCCTGCCAGTCCAGGGGATGCCTGCAG